GTGTCAATTTACATTCCCACCAACAGTGCAAGAGGGTTCCCTTTTCTCCACACCCTCTCCAGCATTTGTTGTTTGTAGAAAATCCCCATTTCTTAAGTCTGTTGACAATCAGAAGATGTGGCCTGGCTGGACCTGCATCCTCCATGGTGACCTATACCAGGGCCGAGCGGGGCCGTGCACTCCTCCAGGGCTGGCGGCCAGCCCCACTTCCGCTCTCTGCCCCACAGCAAACTGCTCCACAAGAGGGACAGTGACAAGGTGGATGCCCCGGAGGAGAACTTCCTGCCCAAGTACCAGCGTGTGAAAGACCTGTGTCAGCGGGCCGAGTACCAGACCGCGTGCGAGCAGCTGGGGCAGGTGAGGATGCTCGGCTGGTGCCCTGGGGCTGGGGATGGTACCCCTGCCCTCCCTTCTTCCCTCCCAGTGGCCACCCCGGCTAACCACGACCCAGGCCTGCTCCTCGGCCTTCAGACCAGCGGAGCCAGTGGGGCCAGCGCCCCTGCTGATGTGTGAGACGCAGGGTGATGCCAGGTGGTACAGGCGACACTCAGAAGGTTCTTCCAATCCTGCTCACATTAGAGGCAAAGTCTCCTGGGGGTGCACGTGTGTCTTTAGCTGCTGTGACTCATGCCCAATCCCTCTTGAACAAAGACATAGCCAACCTCTGCACAGTATTTACAAAGTTAAATAACCATTTACATTGTATTCACTCTCCCAGAGCATCATTGTGGCTGGTTTTCCACTTATATAGGAATAATAGGAAATTACCTTTTTAAGTAAATAAGTTTAAGTTTTAAAAATGTGAATTGATTTCAAGAGAAATATTAAGGAAATTATAATCCAAGTAGTACTTAGAGGTAGCAAAAACTGTGACTGATGTTTCGGAGAGTCTGAACTTTCTGAGGCCGAGGTGGGCGCTGGAGAGGAGGGGGGAGGGGTGGGGGCAGAGCCTTGTAAGGAGGGACCCAAGCAGGAGGCGTGGTTCGGAGGTTGCGGGGAGGGGAGGGCCCACGAGCAAGCAGGGCAGACAGGAGGTGCTTCCCTGCCTCGGTCTGTGAGCTGGGACTTTGAGCTCGTCCACAGCGGCTCAGGCCTGAAGATGCATGCCTGTTTCGCCAGTAAGAATAAGTAAAACCAGGGCCTCCACATTCCGTTTCTCATTAATAGACCAAGGCTGCCAAGGCCAGGGCATGAGCTGGGTGGGTCTCACAGGCTGCATCCAGGCAGCTCTGTCTTATCACTAGACTCAGAATTAGCACCCACCTGTCCTCGTGGCTGTGCCCCCGGCCGCCCAGCGTTTGTTCACAACCCCCGACCCCTCCCCATGCTCTGGAGGGCATCTTGTCTGGGAAGTACCTGTCTGCGCCACTGAGCGAGAGCTTTGGGTTACACTGGAGCGGCATTCAGTGCTGCCTCTGTAGCCGGGCACAGTTCCAGGCACTGGGGCAGCAACAGCCTCAGACGCCCTGGACAGAAAGCCCTGCCCTCCTGGAGCTGATGATCTGGGCAGATCCCAGAAGCGGTTCCGATTTCAGTTCTGAGCTACAAGAAATGAGCCGATGAGACCAAGGGGCCCTTTGTCCCCCTGGGATTGTTGTCGAATCCCCCTGCTGGCCCATCCCCCCTCTCTCCCTGCAGATTGAGGGTCTGGTAGTCCCAGGAAGGGGAGAGGGCAAGTATCGGCATCTTCAGAACAGATTATCTGAGCGCAGTGCTTAACCCAAAGGAAAGGAGCGCCGGGGGTGGGTTGGGGGCCTAGACTGGCAGCGGAGGCATCGAGCCATGGCCCCCAGACTTACAGCTCTAGGTCCTCCAGGACCCCAGCCCAGCCCAGACATAACCCTGCTGGCGGATGCAGTCACGGCCCTGCTCAACTGCCCTCCCTCCCCCATCCCCCCAGCCCCAGTGCCACTGCCCGTCTCATGCTGCACCTTCCAGGAAGGCCCTTCCCTGCACACGAGCCGTGCCCTGCGGCCCCAGAGCTTCGCTTAGAGGGGCCTCCCTGTGACTGGGCTCACCCTCGGCCACAGCGCATCACCCTGGGTACCATTTCTGTGCTCCTCCCACGGTGGACAGGTGTCCATCCATGATGGAGCAGCTCGTTCCAATCACAGAGCCCGTCTGAGCCCGTGTCCAGCTAAGGCCGCTAGAGGGAAGTCTCCGGGGTGGACGGGAACGGTGGGGCAGCCGCCAGTCAGGAGAAGCGGCTGAGCAGGTTGGCCCAGGCCCGGAGGGCTGAGGACGCGGTGTGTCTTGCAGAAGTGGCAGTGCGTGGAGGACGCCGCGGGGAAGCTGAAGCTGCACAAGTGCAAGGGCCCCGCACGGCCCGGGGGCAGGGCCGTCTCCAACCTGGTGCCCAAGTACTACGCACAGGGCGGCGAGGCCTGCGTCTGCGACAGCGGGGATGAGCAGCTCAGCCTGTCCGGACGCCGGAAGAAGCTCTTCAAGAAGAGTACGCAGGACGGGAGGGGAGGGGATCGGAGGGGAGGGACCGCACCTGGGCAGCCCTAGTAGTTCCTTCAAACGGATCCACATCCCACCCCTCTCGATCCACCCGTCCCTGGGGGCAGAGAGTAGTAAAGAAGGAAGATAAGCTGACCGTGTCCAGGGCCAAGAAGAGCAGGACCGTAAAGAGAAAGTGAGGAGAGAGGGATACGGCCCCAGACCACGTGGTGGGGCCCCTCTGAGACCAGAAAGAAGCCCCCGGAGGGTTTTGAGCAGAGGAGCCGGGATCAGATTTGTGTTTTCAAAGGATCCCTCCAGCTGCACTCCGGGCACTGGACGGGTTCACTTGCAAAGTGGCACAAAATTTCGAGTCACCCAACGTGCAGGCTCCCAGCCGAGGTTGGGCCAAGGTGGCGCTCTGCCTTCTCCCTTCAGCCTTCATGTCTATTTAGTGTCCTGTTTGCGGTATTTCGTACTTTTTTTGGTGACTTCCCTATCTAAAGTGGCCCCAAGGTGGCGCTGACATCCTGTGTCGGGTCCCCAAGCCCAGGGCGGCTGTGATGTGCTTTATGGAGGGGAACACGTAAGTGAGAAAGCTTCGTTCAGGCACGAGTCTTGGTGCCGCTGCCGTGAGTTCAATGTCGGTGAATCAACACGTGCGTTAAATCGGGTGTCTTTTTTTTTTTTAATTTATTTACTTATTTATGTATTTATTTTTGGCTGCATTGGGTCTTCGTTGCTGTGCGCGGGCTTTCTCTAGTTGCGGCGAGCGGAGGCTACTCTTCGTTGCGGTGCGCAGGCCCATCACTGGCCGTGTGATGGCTTCTCTTGTTGTGGAGCACGGGCTCAGTAGTTGTGGCGCACGGGCTTAGTTGCTCCGCGGCGTGTGGGATCTTCCCGGACCAGGGCTCAAACCCGTGTCCCTTACAGGCAGATTCTTAACCACTGCGCCACCAGGGAAGCCCAAATCGGGTGTCTTTAAACAGAGACACACATGCAGTAAGGCCCAGTACTGATGGTGGACAAGCGTGTTGTGACCCGAAGCTCGCAGGAATCTTACCCCGTATTTCCCCCAGGAGCACTGGTTCCACACTCGCTAGTTCAGCATCAAGGTGGCGCTATAGAACAGGACCACCGCGAATGACGGGAATCGACTATACAGTTGACCCCGAACAATGCGAGTTTGAACTCCACAGGTCCGCTTGCACGTGGATATTCTTTGATAGTAAATACTACAGTTCTCCACTGTCTGTGGTTGGTTGAATCCACAGATGCAGAGAAACCTCGGATACAGGGCTCTGACTATAAGTTATACACAGATGAACCCCACGTTGTTCGAGGGTCAACTGTACTTTGCAAGGAGGAAGAGCCCCCCATCCCAACTGGAGAAGTTGCCTTAACCTTCACCCCTCCCCCCAGCAGGGGCTGAAGAAGGACAGAAAGTTAGAAAACCAGCAAGCAGAGGAGGGGAAGGGGGGACCTGGCTGCAAGACTCAGCTGTCACACTGGGTAGTCATGACCCCGTTCTGAGGGTCAGCTCCCCTGGGAAGCACACTCCCTGCCGAACGTTCAGATAAGGATGCGCCCGGGCTTTGAGGATGCTTGGCAGGTTGCTGGGTGCCAAGGACTCGGCGTCAGTGAGATCCAGTCCCCTGGCTAGCATGTCTTGCTCCCTGACCTAATGGGAGCCAAAGCCTAATTGGAGGTTTTAGTTCTGTTTTCTTTCATTGTGGTACAATACACGTTATCTAACACTTAGCGTCTTAACCGTTTTTTAAGTACACTGACATCGTTGTGCAGCCATCATCACCATCCATCTCCAGAGCTCTCTTTTTCTGGCAAAACTGAAACTCAGTACCCATCAAACAACAACTCTCCATCATCCCTCCCCTGGCCACCACCCGTCTGCTTTCTCTGAATTTGACTGTTCTAGGTACTTCCTATGAGCAGAATCACGCACCATTTGTCCTTTTGTGACTGCCTTACTTCACACGGCATAATGTCCTCAAGGTGCATCCTTGCTGTAGCCTGTGTCAGAATTCCCTTCCTCTTTCAGGCTGAATCAGATTCCCTTGTAGCCTAATTAGAGACTGGGTGTCTGGCGACAGGCTGAGGTCTCTTCCTGTCTTTGCAGAGGACACCTTCGTTACAGAGCAGGTGTGTCTCCATAACAACTCGGCTGCTGCCTCAAGTGGCGCGTCCCAACTGATGATCCCCCGTTATAATTCCTCACAAGCTGATTAGTAACTACTAAGCTTATCTTTTTTCCGCGGATAAAATGAGTGGTTGAATTACACAGCTAACACCTTGCTTCAGCACGTGGCACACTGGGTAATGTTTAAGTAAGACAAGAACTTGCGACTCAGTTAAGCCTTTTTCTTTTTTTCCTATTAATTCTTAGAGGAAAGAAAAATGCACCTAAATAACCGAGACTCGGCTCAACCCAGGCCCTCCTGTGAGGACGGTGTGACATCACAGCCCTGTCTGATACGCCCCTCACAGCATCCTGGGAGCAAGGCGAGGGTGGCTCCTCACAGCAGACAGGAAAGGTCAGCTCACACGGCCACCTGGGCGACTTGGGCCCCATCGCCTGGCCCAGTATTCTTCCTCCTGCACGTGCCTGCCGGCAAGATGGTCTCTGTCACTCCTTTCTGAGCAGCCAGCCTAGAGCAGGGGTTTTCAACTGCGGGCGATTTTGCCCCCCAGGGACACTTGGCCGTGCGGTGACATTTCTGGCTGTCGTAATCGTGTGCGATGGGCAGCAGGAGGGATGCTACTGGCATCCGGTGAACGGATGTTGTGGACGCTGCTAAGCATCCTGTGAGGTACAGGTCAAGTCGCCCACAGCCAGGATTTATCCGGCCCCAGAATGTTGCCAGTTGTGAGGTTGAGACTCCCTGGCCCAGAGCAGCTCAGACCCCGGCTCACCCTAACCCCCTGGGCTGTGGGCTGTGGGCTGAGGAAGCAGGCAGAGCAGCCAACCCAGAACACGGGGGAGACCCAGGACCCAGGGGGAGGAGATGAGGCCTCGGGGATGGGTCCAGGTGGCCGGTGTTTATTCATTTCTTCTCCCAACAAATCCGCAAGCCCTGCCGTGTGCCAGCTGCTGAGGTTACAGAGGTGAACTTGAGAGACACGGATCGGACCTCGTAGGTGAGACCAGGTGTCAGCAAGTTAACAAAGTGGGAAGATCACTTCCCTGGGTGCAAAATGCATGGAGGAAATGAAACAGTGGTGTGACCAGGTGGAGAGGGGCGGCGGCTGTAGGATGGGTGGTCGGTTGACATTTAAATGAGAGCCAAGTATGTAGAAGGAACAGGCCATGTGACTAGCAGAGGGGAAGTGCTCTAAGTCAGGGGAAGAGGAAGCACGAAGTTCCTGTGGGTCCCACCCCAGAGAGCGGGCCACACTGCGTCGGGCTTCCCAGGCCTGGGGAGGTGGGAGGGCCCAGCTGTGACCTTGGGCGAGGATGTCACAGCTGCAGTGTCCCTAACTAGCAGAGAAGCTGCTGGATGCCAGCTTCCAGGTGCTGAAATATTTAGCAGGTCTGTTTCATGTCAGACTCCAAAGAGCCCTGGAAGGCGGGTATCGTCATGAGAACATAGCTGCTTGGAAATTAACTCACTTGCCTTTGCGTTGGCTCAGGATTTGCACCCAGGCAATCAGAGTCCAGAGCCTCAGCTCTTTTTTTTTTTTTAATAAATTTATTTATTTATTTTTGGCCGCGTTGGGTCCTCGTTGCTGCGCGCGGGCTTTCTCTAGTCCCGGCGAGCAGGGGCTACTCTTCGTTGCGGTGGGCGGGCTTCTCATTGCGGTGGCTTCTCTTGTTGCGGAGCACAGGTTCTAGGCACACAGGCTTCAGTAATTGTGGCTCACGGGCTCTAGAGCGCAGGCTCAGTAGTTGTGGCACATGGGCTTAGTTGCTCCACGGCATGTGGGACCTTCCCGGGCCAGGGCTCAAACCCGTGTCCATTGCATTGACAGGCGGATTCTTAAGCACTGCGCCACCAGGGAAGCCCCCAGAGCCTCAGCTCTTGGCCACTGGGTTAGGAAGTGCCCCGTTCCCAGTACATGTGGTAGGGAGGGCACCTCCAGGACCCTGGAAACAAAGACACCTAGGGTGACAAAGAGAGCAAGTGGTGTGGCTTCAGTCCCAGACAAAGTGTACACCAGGGCTGGCAGGTTTTTGCTGTAAAGGGCCGGAGAGTAAATATTTGAGGCTGTGGGAGCTAAACAATCTTTGTGTCAAATGCTCCATTCCATCACTGTGGCAAGGAAACAGCCGAGGACTCTGCAAATGGTTGAGAGTAACTTATGTACAGAATCAGGCAGAGGGCTGGATTGGGCCTGGAGGCCATAGTTTGGGGACCCCTGGGTGTATGGCTGGGGGCGTGGAGAACGCCAGAGCAAGCAACACAGAGGAGCAGAAAGAACCCCCTGGGTCCGCTTCCTGGGCCTCTTAGGCAGGGGTGTCCTCCTCCCGCAGGGAGATCAGCTCAGTACTGTGTGCGTTTCGGGCCCAGGCACTGTGGCTTCATGGAGACTGAACTCAGGGAGGAAAAAGCCAAGGAGAAAGCTGCCCGGAGTCAGAAAAGGCCCAAGGCTTTGTCAGAGAAACGCCTCTCCTGGACCTGGACCCCCAGATCCTTTGGCCCATGAGACTCTGATACAAGGAGGAAAGGTACAAGCCACCGCCCCGGGGTCGGGGGGTTGGGGGATGTGGCGCAAGACCAGATCCTGGAGCCCTGGCCTGGGCCCTGAGGAAGAGGGAACCCCCTCCTCCCTTCTTGGGCCCCACCACCTGGCCTCCAGCCAGTCCTCGACCTTTGGTCGCCACCTGGTGGTCATTAGGAGCCCAGCAGAAACCCGGGTCGGGCCTGGCTCCAGGCCCTGCTCCAAAAACAGATGGATGTTTCAGGGCAGCGGGGTTACAGACTCGAGGCCGGCCTAGGTCAGACCTAAAATGGGAGGAGGAGCGGGGACTGTGGCCAAACGGGAAACACTCCGCCCCGTAGGAAGAGGCAGTGCATCAGCTCCTGCCCCGCCGTCCACGCTGCCGGTGGGCCCGGTGTGGGCGGCACATCTCCCGTTTTCTCTCGAGAAGCTGGAAATCTGTGATCCTCCGTGACCACCCTCCCCCAACCCCTTTTTTCTGAAGTGTTAGCAACTTGATCAATTTTGTCTTTTAATATACAGAAGATACGAGAAATCTGGGCTCTGACTTGAGCCTGTGTTGACGAGGGGGAAATTTACCCCCTGCCCCTCTCGAGTTCTCTTGGCTGGTCAGATAATTAACTTGACACAAGACTGATGAACAGGAGGAAAAAGTTAGTTCATACACACAGAGGTCTCATAGAAATGGGACCCCAGAGCGACCAAAGCACGTGTTTACACATCATTTTTAGACAAGGAAACAATTATTTGTGAAGATGTAAGAGCAAAGGGGCTGGTACTTGGGGCAGCAGACTAATGAAGGAGGAAAGTTACTTTATACAGCTTTCTTAGCCTTGAATTCCCTGACTCTGGTGATAAGGATGCTTTCTCTTATCCTGGTATAGGGAAGGGACCTTCACATGCGAGATTTATTTCCCACTATTTTAGGGGGGAAAGAGGAGGGTCAGTGTTTTTTTTATGTTTTCTTTGGCCACCAGCTGTTTCTTAAGTAACTTTAATTCAAAAGAACCAATATGCCATTGTGGCATATCTTGGGGTGACCTGCTCTGAGCCCCAACCGTTCCCTTTAAAATTGACCAGGAAGTTTCACATTTTAAAAGGAGAGTTGGTGGCCATGGAGAGAGAAATCCGGTTAGGAGCTGAGTGCTAAGAGCTCTGCAAAGGGAGAAAAGAACAGAGATTAGAATGAGGATGAACAAACAAAAGAACAAATCGAAGCCCCTTCTCCACCCCCATTAAACCAGTCCCTAGTCCTGGTGTCGGTCAGTTCAATAAAGTGGCCGTGCTTCCCTCCACTGATGCAAAGAGTTAACCTCCTCTCTTACTAGAGGTAAGGTGGACACTCCTTGTCCCATTTGGGTTACACAGGAGCAATGTTTTCACCAGTGATGCACAGGCTCCTCCTTGCTGAGCTCCTTTAAAGCTTGGTTGTCACTGAGCCAAGGAAGTCCAGATTTCTGGTCCACCCATATATATAGTGTGGTATTGGGCAGCTTAATCAGGGGAGCAGCTGTAATACCCCAAGGGTGGCTGGTGAGCCATCCCGGACACTTGGTGAGTTGGCAGATGTTTATACTAAAAAGGGTAGTGCCAGGGTCATTTCCAGTCTCCATGAGAGGTTTGAAGATGCCACCTGTGGAATCAAACCCCTGAGTCTGACTGCAGTACTGTCCTGGCCTGTCACCCAGGAAAGGTCCAGTGTTTGTTTTCAATGCAAAGGGAAATTTTTCACCTATTGTTTTTAGCCTGGGCGAGGGACAGCCCTTGAGCTTCTATAGAGGTTTTCCGGGGCCTCGATAACTCCCCAGAAGGAGAGACAGAGCGATGTTTTTCGGTCGTGGATACCATTCCCTGTCATTGAACCATCTTTTGTACCTAGTCCACAGTGTGCACATTGGCAGGAACGCAGACCAGCTCAGGGGCACTTGTACCGTCTAGATGTTGACACAACCAACAGTCAGATTGATTGATTAACGTGGCCAGGCTTTGGTAAACTGGCACGACGGGGTGTTTGGTTTATGCCTGACCTGTTGACAAAGTAAAGGTTACTAAGCAAGACACAGGTTGAAAAGGAGCCCATAGTGGAGACTTTTAGAGGGGAAGTGGGCTAGATAGACAAGCACTGTCTGCTCAGCCTCCTGATAATGATAATGAATGTGCGAAAGTGGTCATTAGTAAGAGAAGGTGCATGTTTGTTTGTTTAGCGTGTGAATATATAGGGAGTCTTAAAGGGGGGGAATAGGTAAAAACGAAGTTTTTTTAATTTATTGAAGTATAATTGATTTACAATGTGTTAATTTCTGCTGTACAGGAAAGTGATTCAGTTACACACACACACACACACACATATATATATACCCATGTTTCTTCATACTCTTTTCCATTATGGTTTATCTCAGGATACTGAATATAGTTCCCTGTGTTATACAGTAGGACCTTGTTGTTTATCCATTCTGTATATAATAGTTTGCATCTACCAACCCCAAACTCCCAATCCTTCCCTCCCCCACCCCCTCTCCCCCCTTGGCAACCAGGAGTCTGTCCTCCATGTCTATGAGTCTGTTTCTGTTTCATAGATATGTTCATTTGTGTCATGTTTTAGATTCCACATGTAAGTGATATCATATGGTATTTGTCTCTTTCTGACTTACTTCACTTAGTATGACAATCTCTAGGTCCATCCATGTTGCTGCAAATGGCATTATTTCATTCTTTTTTATGGCTGAGTAGTATTCCATTGTATATATGTACCGCAGTTTCTTTATCCATTCATCTGTCCATGGACATTAAGGTTGCTTCCATGTCTTAGCTATTGTAAATAGTGCTGCTGTACGTAGGGGTGCATGTATGTTTTCGAATTAGAGTTTTCCACAGATATACGTCCAGGAGTGGGACTGCAAGTGAAGTTTCTTGATCCATGATCTTGGGAAAAGCTGTCTAATTCGTGATGCCAGCTTCTTCCAGGCCTGGGAAGTGGCCCTGGAAATCCTTACTTTGAGGTCACCTGTGGGGACTGTCTCCCAGCTGTTTTGAGAGCGATGGTCTAGGCCAATTTGGCATGACTTGCATGAACCCAGGAGGATTTTCCCTTTATTCTGGTGGTAACACAGGGAGTGTAGGTAGATAGCAGTACCTCATAACGTCCTTCCCAGAGAGGTGACAATGCATGGTTTCTTCTAAAGTCCTCGATGTAAACCTGGTCTCCCGGTCAAAAGGGACGTCAGGGTGTCAGTCGGGGAGGCCACGCCCCTTTTCCCTCTTGGCAATAAGCTTAAAGTACACTCGTCAGTTCTTGTAGGCAGCTGGTCAGAGCATCAAATTATTCACTTATGTTCCCACAATGTCCACTTAATCCAGAAATAGAAAGTTTAGAGATGCCAGTAGGCATGGGTTATCCAAGCACTATTTCAGAAGAGCTTAATCCATGTCTCCTGTTGGAGTGTTCCTGATCCTTATACAGGCCAGGGGCAAAGCTTCTGACCATTTAAGCCCAGTTACTTTCCAGAGCTTTTCCTAAAGTCCTTTTATATCTAGATTTTTATGTTCCACTTGCCCTGATGGTGGAGTTATGGTACAGAGTATGGAATTTTAATGAGTACCCCAGAGATTTTGCAAGCAGATGGTTTATCTCTGCTATAAAATGAGTTCCTTGGTCTGATTCAGTCCATAAAGGAATGTCAAAATTAGGAATAACCTCAGTTATTAAGTTCATTACCACTGTGTGGCATCACCACATCTAGTCGGATAGCATTCAGTCCTTCCACTAACCATGTAAAAGATAACCAAGTAGCAAGAAGAGCCTAAAGCTGGGGGCGAACCTATAAGATCTGTTGGAGTGCCACAAAGGGCAGTGTGGGCCTGGTAAGACTTCCGAGGGCACACCGATTTCTCCCGGAAGTTAGGCGCAATTCACTAGTAGTGCACTGGGAAATAATTTGGTCGGAAATTCCATGGCTGCCAGGGCAAAACCACTCTCCTGTCTGCACAGTACATCTCATTTGATGGGAGGTAAGCTCAAGGCACAAGGTGAAAGGAAAAGGAACCACCTGAAGTACATGTGGCCCAGTGTCTCATTTATCTGAGCATTGTCTGGTACCTTTTTTGTGTCCGTTTGTCCTTTTTAGATTGTGGGGCATTTGCCTGATAGTTAATATCAGTCAGGAATAAAGGCAGGTTTAAGAATTGGGTGGAGAGAGGATAAAGGGGGCATGTTGAGCTGCAATTTTAGCAGCTCTTTCCGCCCTATCATTTCCTAAAGATAAAGCATCAGTCTCCTGAGCAGTGAACAACAGCAGCATTAGAAGCGAGGTGACTAGCTTATAACAGGGCAGCAATTATATACCCGTTAGCGCCAGGAGGACCTGCAGAAGTCAGGAATCCACGGGATCTCCAAATCGTACCCACAGCATGGCGGACTCCAAAAGCATCTTTGGAGTCTGTGTAAACGGTGGCAGTTTCCCCTTTGCTCGTCTGTGTGCTCCAGGAAGAGCGATGCGTTCAGCCGCGTGGGCTGGTCTCACAGTGGGCACGGAATATGCCTCACGTGGTTCACGTGGGGAGCCACAGCATAACCGGTTATTATGTTTCGCTGGAAACTTCGTTTACAGGAGCCATCACAAAATCGAAGTAAGTCTGGGTTGTCTAAAGGGATGTCTGAGAGAGCATCTCGTGGCTCTGAGACCGTTCCTGTAGTTGCGAGGCACTCGTGTGGCATGGAGTGGGGCTCTCCACCATCAGGGAGGGGGGTAAAGGAGCCAGATTTAGAGTATTAATGATGGACGGTGATGGGTAGATTAAGAGCCTGCTCACAGGTGGTCTCTCGCCACGCAGAGAAGTGCTGCATCCTGTGAACTTGTAACATAGCAGACACAGCATGGGAAACAGAGGTGGCTGGGGGAGCCTATGGTTAGAGCACTGGCTTTGTAGTCAGCATGGCCACGTACATAAGGGGGGCGTACCTGGTGCCGTAGAGTCTAACTGACATGAGAAATACGCTGTAGGACTTAACTGAGGCAAAAGGCTGTCCCAGAATGCCAGCAGTAATCCCATCATTCCATGGCCAGTGTAGATGAAAAGGCTTATCACGATCAGGTAAGCCAAGAACCAGAGGTGTGGACAGAACTAATGTAAGGCTTCGTAGGGGAGCAGAATTTGCTCCCCGAAAATACATCTCTTTGGCATATTATCTTGAGCTGGTTCTTTTCTAGGAAACAGCAGACACGGGAAACTGAAAACCTAGTAGGAGTTGCCCTTTTGCAAGAAACATTGACGTCTGTAAGGGAAATCTCCATTTGTAACGGTGTCTCCCTCTCTGTCCCTGTAAGAGGAGGTTGACCAAATCTCTGGAAACTCTTCTCCATGGAGAGGGCCAGGGCTTAAATCTGTGTCACAGCCGCCCTTGTTTACTGTGCTTTTCCTGGTCGCCTCCCCTGACTGGATCTCCCACCCTCTACATCCTCTTTTGTCTTTGGCTGAGGGTTTCAGGTGAGGGCTTCCAGGTTTTTCCGGGTTTCTCCCATGGATACATTATTAAACATTTGTTTGATTTTCTCCTGTTAACCTGTCTCAAGTCAACTTAATTCTTAGACCAGCCAGAAGAACCTAGAAGGGTAGAAGGAAAACTTCTCCCCGACGGCTATGCCAGTCCTTCTTACCGGTCTCCCTTGAGAGGTAAATGCAGACAAGGTGTGCGTCAGGAGCATGGGATTGAAGAGGAATCTGAGCGGAGCTCAGATTAACCAAGCTGGGTCAGCAGGAGTCGCAGTGAAGGTAACAGCTGGGTTAGGGACCGCAGGGTGCCCGGGAATTACAAGAGTTTATGGCTCTTAGGGTTTGTGCAAATGAAGAGATTCGATTCCCGTCTGGGCCTAATTTACCTTCTTTCATTACAAATGTACCTACTTTCACTTGGAGTGTGACAAGGTGAGGAAGTAAAAGCAAGCACACCCAGCTCTAAGAGAGTCTATCATAGGGTTAATTCCTCACTTTGTATCTCTTTGCAGAGAAGGGACCTGTTTAGTTTTCTTCCACGTCATGCATACAGGCTCAGCACTCGGTAGCAATCCAACTTCACTGGCATGTGTGGCCTACGGACTAGTTGGGACATCTGTTAAAGACTCACCCTCTTCAGAGGAATTTAAATCAGGACGAGTTTCTAATAAGGAAAGTCGATCTGGGGCTTGGTCTGAGGGCAAGGAAATAAAAACGCCCTTCTGATTACATTTTAGAGGAGCATCACATTTACGTAACAAATCTCTATCAAGAGGTTTGCTGGTGAGCAGCTGGAAATTAGATACGATGGGTGTTAAGAGGCCCTAAAAGATATTAGGGTGGGCTGAGATGTGGGTAATGTAGTTGGTTGTCCAGAGACTGACTGTTTGTATAGACTCAGCAGTGACAGGTTGAGATAAATCCTCTGAGCGACGGCAGAGGAAGGCACACGGGTGTCAGTTAAGAAATCCAGTTCCCGATCCTCTATTTTAAGTAGCCTCTGGGGTGCAACTGAGGATTGGCTGACCCCGTCATTTGAGAAGGAATTGTCCCTCAGAAGGAGAAGAATGAACTTTCTGGGCATGCTGGGGCCTAGGGGGACTGTTTCTTAAACTTTCCTTTCTCTTGAGTGTGGGACAAATTTCTCTTCCATTGTCGTGGTTTCTTAGAATATCTGCAGTTGTCTGGAGGCAAACAGGAAGAGCTCTGTGTGAGCCTGGAGCTACTCTCAGAGTCATGCTTTTGTTTTCTATTCTTTTTTTTATTGAAGTATAATTTACAATGTTGTGCTAGCGTCTGGTGTACAGCATAGTGATTCAGTTTTATACATATATTCTATTTAGTTCCCTGTGCTATATAGTAAGACCTTGTTATTTATCTGTTTTATATATAGTAGTGTGTTATCCGCTAATCCCAAACTCCTAATTTATCCCTCCCCCACCCCTTTCCCCTTTGGTAACCATAAGTTTGTTTTCTATGTCTGTGAGTCTGTTTTGGAAATAAGTTCATTTGTGTCATATTTTAGATTCCACATATAAGTGATATCATGTGGTATTTGTCTTTGTCTGACTTACTTCACTTAGTATGATAATCTCTAGGTCCATCCATGTTGCTGCAAATGGCATTATTTCATTCTTTTTATGGGTGAGTATTATTCCATTGTATATATATACCACATCTTCTTTATCCATTCCTCTGCCAGTGGACATTTACGTTGCTTCCATGTCTTGGCTATTGTAAATAGTGCTGCTATGAATAGAGGTGTGCGTGTATCTCCTTGAATTATAGTTTTGTCTGGGTATATGCCCAGGATTGAGATTACTGAATCATATGGCAACTCTATTTTTAGTTTTTTAAGGAACCTCCATAATGTCTCCCGTAGTGGCTGCGCCACTTTACATTCCCACCAACGGTGTAGGAGGGCTCCCTTTTCTCCACACGCTCTCCAGCATCTGTTATTTGAAGACTTTGATGATGGCCATTCTGACCGGTGTGAGGTGATACCTCATTGTAGTTTTGATTTGCATTTCTCTACTGATAGTGATGATGAGAATCTTTTCATGTGCCTATTGGCCGTCTGTACGTTTTCTTTGGAGAAACGTCTATTTAGGTCTTCTGCCCATTTTTCGATCCGGTTGGTTTTTTGTTACTGAGTTGTATGAGCTGTTTGTATGTTTTGGAAATTAATCCCTTGTCAGTTGCATCGTTTGCAAATATTTTCTCCCAGTCCTAGGTTGTCTTTTTGCTTTATGGTTTCCTTTGCTGTGCAAAAGCTTATATGTTTGATTAGGTCCCATTTGTTTATTTTTGCTTTCATTTCTATTGCCTTGGGAGACTGACCTAAGACAACCTTGGTACGATCTGTCAGAGAATGTTTTGCCTGTGTTCTCTTCTAGGAGTTTTATGGTATCATGTCTTATATTTAAGTCTTAATTAAGCCACTTGGAATTTATTTTTGTGCATGGTGAGAGGGTGTTGATTTACAAGCGGCCGTCCAGCTTTCCCAACACCACTTGCTAAAGAGACTGTCTCCATTGTATATTCTTGCCCCCTTTGTCGAAGACTCATTGACCGTAGGTGTGATGCTTTTGTTTCCCTAAAGGTTCAAATTGCAAAGCAAGAATTGTTGCTTTTAATTCTTTTTTTCTGCATTCCTGGAAACTATTTTCGAAGGATGGAGCTCCAGCCTCCATTCTTACACTTAGCAGTAGCCTAGACCAACCTACCACACTGTTGTGAATTTGCTTTCTGATATCAGGGAACAGTTTCCCATTAGAGCAGATATGAAGAGATTCCTGTGCACTGGGGCTTCCAAGTTAAAGGCAGTGTGCCTTTGAAAAGTCTGCATGAAATGTTCGAAAAGGCTTTGGGATGCTTTCCTCCCGAGTACAGAATTCAACCTTAAACTAATTAACTTTAGGGGGAAAGGCCTCAAGTATCACTCCTGTCAAATCCTGACTCTCAGCCTCCGTCCAGCTGAGCCTCCTCCTGGTCATTTGCAGGCCGAGGAGAGGTTCCCGCATTCAGGGGGAAAGAGGTGGAGTCAGAGTGTTTTTTAATATCATTTTTTTTCCCCACCAGCTGTGTTTCAAAGAACTTTAATTCAAAATAATCAATATGCCATTGTGGCATCTTGGGGTGGCCTGCTCTGAGCCCCAGCACCTGCACGCCCTCAGTTTTCCATAGGTGACTTAGAGTTTAGGAAAAAACACCTCTCAGCCCCGCCTCACTGCCCACCCTGTGGAGAGCATGCAGCTCACTGCTGGGGAAATAGACTCTTGAGAAGATCAGTGACCTCCCCAAGCCCCCCCCCCCCCCCCGCCTCCCTTTTCTGTCTGGGAGAATGTGCTGCTTGGCTCTTTTTTACCCAGTTCAAATTAATGGGTTTTTTTATCTTGTTTTGTGGAGTTTTACTGCAGTATAATTAACATGTTACATTAGTTTCAGGTGTACAACATTGTGATTCGATATCTGTATATACCGCAAAATGATCACGCCAACAAGTCCACTTAACATAGTTACAAAAAATTTTTTTCTGGTGATGAGAACTATTAAGACGTAATCTCTCAGCAACTTTCAAATATGCAACACAGTATCATTAACTATAGCCACCATGCTGTGCATTACATCCCCAGGACTGACTGATTCTGTAACTGCAAGTTTGTACCTTTTGACCTCCTTTGCCCATTTCGCCCACCATTCCTACCCCCCACCCCCCCATTTGGCAACCACTCATCTGTTCTCTATGAGCTTGGTTGGTTGGTTGGTTTTAGCGATTCCACAGATAAGTGAGATCATATGCTATTTGTCGTTCTCTGACTTATTTTGCTTAGCATAATCCCCTCAAGGTCCACCTCTGTTGTCGCCAACAGCGAGATCTCCTTCTATTTGATGGCTGAGTAATATTCCAGTGTGTGTGTGTGTGTGTGTGTTGTGTACGTGCCACATCTTCTGTATCCATTCATCCATCAGTGGACACTTAGGTTATTTCCATATCTTGCCTATTGTAAATAATGCAGTGAACAGGGGGGTACAGATGTCTTTGAGTTAGTATTTTTGTTTTCTTCAGATAAATACCCAGAAGTGGAATTGCTGGATCACCTATCCTGGCTGTCACGTAAATAGAATCATACAATGTGTGACTTCTGTATCTGACTTCCTTCACCCATTAGTGTTTTTGACATTCGTCGGCATTGTTGCTTCAGTTCTCTATGTTCGAATCCTCCATCGTGTGGATGTCCCAGTTTACCTATGCACAGCTCCTCCTTGAGATTATCTCAGGCCAATTCCTTCTTAGCTCTGGGACTTCAGTTTCCCCAAGTGAATCACCTTGAGGTCCTTTCCACTGGGGTCCAGGGCCCACTTTCCCGGTAGGTAGGTTTCCTGAGCCCCCCAGTCTCGGGCAGCACTGAAGCCCTGGCTTGGGAGCACAGCCCTGTCTGAATCAAGAGTCTGCTGCCCAGGGAGCCTGGCCAGCCTCCCAGCCCAGCCACCCCTCTCCTCTGACCCCACAGAGTACAAGGCCAGCTACGCCCGGAATCGCTCCATCCGCTCAGTGGCCGTCGAGGGGCACCACGTCGGCCTGGACGACTGGTCCCAGCCCCGCAACCTCACCAAGCGGCACTGGCCAGGCGCCCCTGAGGACCAAGACGACAGGAACGGCGGGGACTTCAGTGGCACCGGGGGCCTTCCGGACTACTCAGCCCCCAACCCCATTAAAGTCACACATCGGTGAGAGTCTAGGGTGGGGGTTGGGGGGGGCTGGACCTTGGCAGGGGTGCCCACATCTCTTGGGCCCCTGCCTGGGCCCCCTCAATGCCCCGAGGGCCCCACGTGACCCCTTCTCTCGAACAGGTGCTACATCCTGGAGAACGACACGGTCCAGTGCGACCTGGACCTGTACAAGTCCCTGCAGGCCTGGAAGGACCACAAGCTGCACATTGACCACGAGGTGACAGGAGTCTGGGCCGGGAGGGTTCTCATGACCCCGAGCTCGGCGGGGCCACCAGCCACAGCCGGAGGCAGGGAAGCCAGGCCCCGGGGAGGAAGGCCCCGCAGAATCCTTCACCAGGGCCGGCAGTGTCGGTCCTGGCCTCAGACAGACAGCTCCTGCCGGACTGGGGTGGGGGGAACAGCACAGCCACGTCGTACCCCTTTGTAATCTACAAGATGCTCACACCACACTCAGCCCTTCCAACAGGCCTGGGGGGAGACCCTGAAGTCCCCCATGGGCTCAGCGGGTTCTCGGGCAGGACAAGACAGGAGAATGACCCACAGTTCCTTCAGCGGGTGGAACCAAGGACCGCCCCCCCAGCACCCACAGACGCGCACAGTGGCTGGGAGGCCCCGCCAGGCCAGCCCTGCTGACCCAGCCCCCCAGAGGCTCACAGCCTCCTCTCCTGCTCCCTCCCTCAGATCGAGACTCTGCAGAACAAAATTAAGAACCTGAGGGAAGTCCGCGGTCACCTGAAGAAAAAGCGGCCAGAAGAATGTGACTGTCACAAAGTCAGGTGAGGAGGTAGCAGGAAGGCCCGGGAAGGCCCCAGTGCTCTTGCGGGATCACTCTAGAGATGCAGCATCCCCTCCTCTGTGACTCCTTTCGTTATTTTTATATCCCTGTCTCCTTGCTT